AAAGGGCGGGCTGCTGTAATATTGCTGACTACCCGGAGTCGTGTAATAGGGTTGTTGTTGTTGGTGGGGGATGTTGGCTCCCATGGCTTGAGGAGAACCGTTCGAGTGCAACGATTCTGGGGAGAGCGCGTACATCTGGGTATATAGAGGAGAGGGGGTGAGTAAATACCAGGGACAAGGGCGAGTGTGGGCTGAGGGGAAACAGGAAAATGACGAGCTTATAAGCCTTTTTGGCTGCTTTATTGCAGGTTTTCGATTTTGGAAAACGGGCCCGGAGAGTGTGTTGGTTGTGGCTATTAGGCCCAAGAGTGGCATGCATAGAACGGGTATGTTTCGGAGGGGGAGCGAGGCGTAATAATGAAGAAAAAAAGAAAAGGACGACTCACCGCTGTGCTATACGGTCCAGTAGACGTCGAATTCCGGGATTCATCAGCATTTCGGTCATGGTAAGCTTGACTGTCTCGACGTAGGGCCTGGTGCTGCTGAGTAGCCAAGGTGGCGGGGGGGCTGGCCTGCTGGAAAGTTGTCCGAATACGCACGATATCGAGCGAGATATGTCTCTTCAGATGGATAGGAGGGTACTGTAGGGTTGTTGGGGTCCCAGGGGGCAGATGGGCCAATCATCGCGTCTGTCGCTGTGCCGCTGTAGGCGCTGTTGGTGGTAGGATTTGCGGAGATGGTAGAGTCCAAGCTGTAAGAAGGGTTGTTTGTCCGTTTAAGAGCGTCTGGGGAGAGTGAGGACGAGTGTGGAGACTGCGAGGGTCGTTTGTCTGTCTGAGAGACGGGATAGGGGATCTGAGGCTGTGCAGACATGATCTGAATGAGGAAATCTAATCAGCGAATCAGTACTCGTATAGTGTGCTAGCACGCTCGACTCGTCGGAACTGCTAGAGCCCCGGATAACAAAGCAACGTACTCTCCTCTATTCGACCCACACGCCACCTATTCGACACGATCTATTCGTCTTGTTTTTATATGTTGTGATATCTCGTTATACCCAACGCTCTGTTTTATTTATTTTTTTGAACCACTACTCGTGTAATTCGTACGGTACTGTTACACGGCGCTAATATACGTACCCTTATTCCAGAGAAATACGTCAAAACAAATGTCATTGTCAATTGTTCCACCCTCAACTGGTGCGGCCTCGCTCTGGCGCTCCCACTTTTGTCCACACTCCGATCAACCCTAGACCTCCAACCATCCCCTATGAGTCCACGTAGACACTATATACGCCCAAACCCCAGCATTGAAGTCATTCTCGTCCCATCCGCGGCCAAGCGCGCAGCGAGCCACTCTCTATAGGCCACCATCATAGTGGACCGAGCTACTGTGGACTGTGGGGGGTGAGTGATTGGTGGGAGAGCCATCTATTGACCGACGTTTCTGTATACAGTGGCTAATCTAGCACGGTGAAACCGTACAGTCAAGGCTTGCCTCCTTTTTCCATTCAGAACGGTTCTTTGGGCCCTTCCGAACACTGAGCCTCAGCGTCATTGTCCATACAAGGGGACGGAATCCCTACGATTTTCCGTGTGAGATGAAAAGCCCAACACCATTGTCAAACTATTCGACACCGCAATGTCCATCGCCCTTGGTGGTGCCGGATCGCGATCAGTGGCTTTCTAGGCCTGTTCCCGGCCACTCTCACAGGCGCCGCATTCACTCAACAATTTCACGACTCGCTAGGCTGAAAAGTTGACTTTTGACATCGGAGGAATAGATATCTTTCTTTTAATTTATGAATGCGGATTCACGGTTGCCACAACCCGGTCAACCACAGTTCCTGAGGCGTCTACGAACGGTTGTTGGCGAGCTTCTCAGCGAAAATGCTCCATTCGACGAGTCTATATTTACGTGGATTCTCTTCTGTCTCGGTGTAGGCGACAAGCATCTCTTGTTGCGGACCGTTCCAAAGGACGTGACCCATGTTCAAAAGATTGTCAAATCGGTATTTACTTTCACTAGAGCAAAACCTAGTTACTAACTCTGCTATAGATTCTGTTTAGTGTGTTTGGGCTGAACACGGTGACTATTCGTGCTCGACCCGAGTACACCCCAGAAGAGCTCTTGTTCAGTCTCTTTCCTCCCTCCCTCGCATCACCAGCTTCTCCACAACCAGTACCATCCATC